AGGGCCCTTCTCCTCCTGGCTTTTCCAGACATGCGCCTGACGCCCCGGCTGGCTGCGCTGAGTGGGACCAATCGCCGAGCTGTCTCCATCCACGAGGACCAGCTCAGGGAGCCAGGGAGCCTGACGGAGCTGGAGAGTAAGTGGGGGCCAAAGCGGCAGCCCCAGGGCTTGGGGAGACATGAGCTGTCAGTCCTGAAGGGCAAAGGCAGCAAAGCAGAGGCTGTCTCAGGGTGGAGATGACATCTTAGATGATGGAGGTTGACATCTTGGATGACGATCCTCAGCAGTGGAGGACGGCTCAGCCAGACAGGCAGAGGCAGCGACACAGCCTCACAGCCCTGGCTCATGGTGGGATGGTTGGAAAGATAATGGCAGCAAGGGCCCTGCTTTACCCTGGCAGGACAGGCCCTTATCCTCACTGGGCATGTATGGGGGTGCAGGTGATCCAAGAACAGCACATCTGGGCCCATGGGTGCCGTCCCCAGAGCACCAACTCCTCCTGCTTGAGCTCTCATCTTCTCCCTGCTTCCCTTCTGAGCTCAAGCCTGGCTGCCCCAACCACACAGCTGTCTTACCAAACGCCCCACTCTGTTTTTTCTCCTTCCCTCCAGATGTAATGATCCCCCTTCGCCTGCGGCGCTCCCCTGTGCTGAAACGGAGGAACAAACGCAACTCCCTTGCGGAGCCCGAGGCGCCCAGTGAGCCCTGCCCATCCTCGGACACCACGGGTAAGGCAGGGCAGCCAGAGACCCCGCACTCACCTGCCCTTTCCTAAGCAGAGCTCCCCGCTAATGGCAGCATTGACGGCCTTTCCAGATGCCAGCACCGGAGACACGCCAGAGGAGCCACTGCCCAGCCCGGAGACAAAAGGAGCGGAGCCCCAAGCCGCAGCACAAACTGGTGCAAATGCGCAAGACTCAACCCTAGACCAAAGAAGCCCAGGGGCAGGCAGGGGGGAGCCTGCCCTGGGACTGTGAGCACTGCATGTCGCTGCACCGTCTCCAATAAACCCCCGCAAGCAAGCGCACAGCGGCAGGGCAAGGAGCGATGCCACCTGGGCGCAGAGTGCACGGAAGGGGTGCAGGAGCATCCCCGGCGTGCTCTGCACCTCGCTTCCATGCTAGGTTGGTGGGCACACAGCTGAGGGGCCAGCCAGCCTCATGTGTTGCCTTCAGCAACTGTTACAAAGGCAACACAGCTGCCTTTCACTGCAGGGACAGCCTGTTTGGGGGCCTCATCACAGAGGGGTGAGGCTACTGGCCCAGCTGAAGCGAGGGCCAGGCCCCGAACACTTCCTAGCAGGGCACGGACTTGCAGTTGCTTCTCTTGACCACTGTCCAGCGCAGTTTCCCCAGCACGGGGCCAGGCTGGAGCCCACCCGAAGACAGGAGAGGTGCCAACAATGCAGATGTGCAAAGCAGTTGAGACATCGGTAACACGGCCCCCCGGCCCACCTGCCGCCCCTCAGCTCATGGGGGCTGACACTTTCTCCATCACCCCAAGACCCAGATGGGCATCAGAGCGACCGTCCCATTTCAAACCACAGCTCTGTGGCCGCTACTCTGAACGATGCAGCCATCCAGACCGCGCAGCCACGTCTGCCTCGCCAGCCCTGCAGCTCTCCAGCCACCACCAGCCACGCGACTTTCTCCTGTGCCAACTGCGAGCAGATCACCTCCATCTCTGGACCAAACGCATTACTTTACACCAATGTTTACCACAAGAAGGAAGACGCTTGCATCCCCCCTGCTCCACTACCAACACCTTTGTTTTTTTTTTTTTTCTTTTATACAAGAGCTGTGTATTTAAAAAATATATGCTTTTTATTTTTAATTTCCACAGCATAACCCCGAAGGATATTTTGTAATGAACAACACAGAACCCTACCCAAACCCATCAATAAACCTCCAAAGTACTGCATTGACTTCAGAAGGGGGATCAGCTTGCAGGGCCTCTAGGCTCCATCTCCGCCCTCAACACTGCCTCTACTACAGTGGGACCGGAACAAGCCCCCTTTCTGCTGGCTAGGCCAGGTCATTTGTCCTAGGCTGTGATGCTTCCGCAAAGGAAGAGCATGCCAAGCAGATAGAGAAAAGGAGGCTAGCTCACCAACAGCGAGTGCTGGGTCACCCACCAGCAGCACTGCTGCACAGAGCCCTTCCCTCGCTCAGCAGGACTGTGCTGACCTCTACCTGGTCATGTCCCCAGCATCTCTGCAGCCAGGGTCTCCAAAGCCAGGTCAGCACCATTCAGCTGTCCCCCTAGGGACAAGGGCTCAGGTTGTGTCCCCAATTCCCCCGCTCTAAATAGAGGTTCTTTAGGTGAACCAGTAAACGAGTAAGCCAAGAGGCCACTCATAGCACGCTCAGGCTCCACGAGGTCTTGGTTCAGGAATCCGAGTCCCCATCGGTAAGGATCCAGCAGGCCCACTTCAGCATTGCCTTCGAGATCCTGCAAAACCAAAAGGTGAGCCAGGGTGAGAGGGGACCCAGCTACCAACGTTGTGCCAGGGAAGGGAGACTGAGGGGGCACATGAATTTGCCTGCCCAGGCACACAGGTGTCTGCCCAGGCAGGGGACACAGCCACTCTCTGTCATGCTGCAAGGGGTAAGTCAGCGTTCAGGGCCCAGCAACGATGCAGGGACCTGAGGCAGGGACTCAACAGGGGGGTCCCCAAGGGCACAAATGGCAGGGTCCAGGTGCCCAGGGCCAGCAGCCCTAGGGCTAGTAGTGCAGGAGCTATGGATGCCCGCAGAACAGGCGCAGCTGAACACATCCATCGTTGCACTGACCTGATAGATCTTATTTGCTCGCAGAGCTCAGGTGATGGGGGCTCGTATTTGTACTGGAGCGTCTTCTCCCTCACATACTGCAGAAGGGAAGAGGACAGTGAATCTGGAGCTGGAGTTTGCCTCGCATTCCCCTGGGTAATCAGCCACAAAAGTGACACTGCATCTCCACGCATCCCAAGGCTTCTATAAGCAGAAAGTCAGGGGTCTTTCTCTCACTCAGGCCCAGGTCTCCTGATCTTACTTTACCTGGAGATGTGGCAGAGGCGCCAAGGATATGCTGATTTCCACCCAGCTAGGCCACATGCTCCCTCCCCAGCACCTCCCTGCCACAGAGCCTCTTTGACCCCTGTGCATCACAGCTCTGCTATGGCTCTTTGGAAGACAAGGAAGGTTGGCTCTGCTGGGGCCACCCAGTCTCCACCTACTTTCAACTGCACAACCCCACCAGAGCCAGGCCCTGTTACACAGGGACAGGCCACCAGCCACTTCATCTTTACCGGCTGCAGAGGTTCACGTTGCTCTCGCTTGCGGTCCAGACCACTCGCTGAGGATGCCTGCTCATCTTCCTGCTCAGGAGGTTCCTCTTCACACTGCAGCCTGGTCTTTTCTTTTCTGCTCTTCTTTGCTCCCTGGTTTCTGCTCGTGTCGCTCTCACTGTCCAAGGAGGCACCCCTGGAATGCTGCTTGTGCTGCTGTCCCTGGAGAGACCTACGAATGTCAGACAGTGTTTGGCTGTCTCCCACCAACAGCTTCCTCTTGGCACCCACAGACTGTCTGCTGCCACAGGGGGCTTCTTCCCGCTTGGTCCTAGCATGAGACAGGCCAACCTTCGCTCCATCAGGAGGGAAAGCCGTGCCACTGGAGTCCGCCTGCTCTCTGTGAGATGCCCCTTCAGCTTCGGATGCCAAGCGGCTGCTAGGCAGGACAGGAAAAGCTGGAGAGAGGGACAACTCTTCAGCCTGGGAGCGTCCTGACGCCTGTGGGCCTTGAGCAGCACTGGAGGCTCTGCCGGGTCCCTCCGCAGCTGACGTCGCTCGAGATGTGCTGGCCTCTGCAGCGTCGGTATCGCCATGTGAGCAGAGCAGGGAGGGGGACGACGTCTCCACGGGGACGTCCTGCAGCACGTCCTGGCTAGACGACTCCAGCAAGTCAGGGGTGTTGCTGTCAGCAGCCATGTTCAGTTGGGGCTCTGGAGCATGCGGAGAATCAGACTGAAAGGACTTTTCTGGTAAGAGAGAAAACACTGTCACACTAGGCAAGAGAGAAAGGGAGGTGCTGCTGGTACCACAGGGTAACACACCCTGTCCTAACACATGAGATTGCAGAGGAGGCCATCAGAGCTGACACAAAGCGGGCACAGAAAACCTAATGCTGGAGATCTAAGGCGGGCGCAGGACTATTTCCTGGCCAAAGGAAAGCAGTCCAGCATCAAAGAGGAGCTCTGTGTTCATCCAGTGAGACACACTGCACCCCACACAGCACAGGAACTCACCTTCTGAGGAGTTCAGAGTCAAGGAAATGGGAGGAAGCTTGTCCCAGGGGTTGTCCAGAGATGCCTCTGAGTTCTGCGACAATGCTGTTGACTCCACAGCTGCAAAAACAAGCCAGGGACTTGATTCTGGTGAACTGCAGAGTTAAGAAATCTGCTATCCACTTCCAACCTTGAGATGGCTACAAAGAACTGCGTGCTGGGTGAGAGACAGGTTCAAGGAGGGCTATAAAGCTCCTCTCCAGCCAAAACTGGGGTGCTAAAGCTTCACACTGCCCTGGGTTGCCCATTCCCATCTGCCTCATTTCAGCCAGGCTCCTTCCAAGGCTTCAGGGAGACAGGTCTTCCCTCTGTGTGCCCTTTCTGGTGGGACTACCATAGAGACTCATCTCACTGCTGAGGCACAGAGCCAGCTGGCTATGCTGAGGCATCATTGCATCATGCTCACAGAGCCCAGAACACCCACTTGGTGAAGAGAACTGCCACCCTCCTGCACTCTGGCACACAAGAAACCCCCTAGAAGCTGCTCAGGGCAACTGCCCTGCAAACGTGGTCCTCACAAGGGACAGGAGTTTGCAGACTTGCCACAACAAGCACACGTTTCTTGGTGGGCACAGCTACAAGTCCTCAGCTCTGCTGTTACTTCCTTCTCTGCTTAATGTGGGAAGAAAATGGGCTGAACAAACTTCAGAGAAAAAAACACTAGAAGTGTGGGCTGAAACCGCAGGTCTTGCTACTCACGGCTGACTTGGGATACTGCACTCTGGTCAACTGGCACCCTCCGATCATCACTGCTCTTCCCAGGAGTCATTTCACATGCATCTACAATGACAGGGGCACCACAGGTCATAGCACACTGCTCAGCTGGAGCAAATGAAATCCTCTCCCCCCATCCCAGAGAAGCCCCGGCAGCCCAGAGGAATTCCAGCACCTTGGAAGCACAGGAACTAAGATGCCAAGAAGGGAGACGTGCCAGGCAGACTCCTGTCCTACCCACCCTGCAGGACAAACAAATCCCTCAAGATGCTCTGCAATTTGAGGGCCTGCAACTGTTAAAATTTCAACTTCTAGGTGTCCAAAGGTGTCTAGGTGTCCAAATAATAGGGTATTAAAGTCCCTATTTCACAAGCTTGGGTTCTGAACTGCCCACCTGCAACCTTCCAGGTGAAGCGCAAGCACTGACCTGCATTGGAGGCATCACAAGCTGCCTCCTCTTCAGGAGGGATCACCAGGATGTTGGCTGGGACCATGAAGACATCCTCACACGGCTGAAATGAGACGCACTACTTGGCTTCTGCCACATAGTCCCACCCAAGCACCAGGAGCTCCCCCAAAGCTGACAGCTGAAAATGCATCTCACTGCCCACTGTTCTTCCCCTTCCTTCTCCCACCAGCCCCCAGAGCGGCCTGTCCCCACAAGGTGACACAGTCCTATCTCAGTCAGGGTCAGCCCTGGGTCACGCACACAATCACAGCAGCCCAGACTGACCTCTTTCTTGCGCTCTGCCTCCCACTGGGTCACAAGAAGTTCTTTCTCTGCTGCTGGCAGCTCTTTGGGCATCTGTAAATCCAAGCATTCCTCAGCATTTTGCTTCAAAACCTCAAGCTTGTTCTGCCCTATTGCATCAATCAGCTGAGAGATAGATGGCTCTGGAATAAGAACACATGAATGTTACCACAAAAACCACCTTCATTCAGGCACACACTCTAAGCAGCCCCATTTGCAGATGTCCATGACTGCCATGTGCATTGAAATCCAGGGAAAGGCACAAAACTCAGCATTTCCTCTTCATCCAGGAACTTTCTTCTCCTTTTTCTTCTCAGTCACACAGCATCCTCACACATCTTCCAGACACATTACAAGGGTTACTCTGTCATGAGTGTGCAGCCATTTCAGTATGACATGCAATAAGATAGGGACAAAGGAGTATCACCACTACAGCAGAAACTGCCCCACCAGAATCAGGGAAAGAAAAGGCCTTGTCCGAAGCTCAGGACAATCCAGCAGACAGGGACAGCGCCCTGAACAGGACCAGGAGCATCGGGGAACCCATGAAGCCCTTCAAGCTGCAGGCCAAGGGTCTAGCTTGGCCCAGATTTAGTCTGGCTCCCAACGAGCAACAGACACGTTGCTGCTCCCCGCTGCCGCCGTGACTGGGTGCATCCACCCTGGTCTCTGGTGAGAACAGGCTTGGGGCGTTCTCCCGGAGCAGGG